CACATATATGAGTTTGACATTTTAGCTCGTACGTGGACTGGAATGACAAGCTTTCTTATAACAGAAATCATTCAATTAACTGTAAATCAATGTACTTCTTTTCTTTTGTAACTTTTAATAAAGCATATCTAAGTAATTTGAAGAATATGTGTTTGCTAAACATTATTACCATATCAAATTTACATAGTTTATATGTCTTTACTTCACGATTCTAATGCACTCCTGAAAATTAAAATTCTAGAAGCTTTAACATTAATCAAGGATTTGTTTCATGTAATAAACTTGTTGATAGATTCTAAAAAAACATATTTTAAAACAATCACAAATTGTATCTCTCTATCTTGCACCTATCAAAAATCGACTCGTCCTTCTTTTACTTGTTGAAATAGATCATAATTTTTTTTCTCGTTTTTTGTAAATCATTGCAACTTGTCTTCTAAATTAATAAACAAAAAACCATGGCGTAATTCTCGGTAGAACTTTTAATTAAATTTATACTTAAGATTGACAATAGTTTCTTCTCGATCTTCGATCCTGTTGCTTTATATAAAGCAAGTTTTTTTTCGCCAAAGTTGCGTATCAGCAGCAATATGATCAGATATTTAATAGTATATAAAAGAAAGATAGACTAGAACGTTTGTTTTTTTTTAGTAAAGGCATGTAAGATTGATGGTTTCATCTCTTTCAAGCTTAGGAGAACTCTTTTTTCTTGTTACATTCTTCCACTCTTTACTTGGCTTTTTGCAATCTTTCCATTGTTTACGAGTAAACAAAGAAATGATCTTTCACACTTTTACTATAATTGCTTGAAAAAGATACTATATGATTGGAAATAGAACGATACATTTTTTGCTTTTTTTGTATAATGAAATATCTTTGGAAGATAGATGTAGTAAATACTGGGATAAATATCTAAGTGCTTTAAGCGACTCGAAGGACGGAGTACTTCTAATGGAAGTATTGAGTTGGAATGTATTTAGAAATGGCTGGGTACAAAAAGAATATCCTATTCCTAATTTAAGAAAATCTAAAAGATTTATTGAGCATACTTCAGTATGATGAAAAGCTCTGAAATAGTGTGCCAATAACGCGGTGCAACACTCCATTCTGGAATTTTGTGTTTCTGACCTGCTAATGCTAAAAGAATTTCCTGAAACTTTTTAACGTTAGCATACCTCTTTATGATACTGTCTGCATCCTAATAGATACGTACGTATTAGATTTGTTATCATTTTTTTTCTCTTCACATGTTTGTTAACTGTGTTTGAAGTTAATGTTTAAAGCGTTAAATGTTTTTCTTTCCCTTTCATCCTTACAACAACATCGACTGATCTTGTCTTATTGTATTTCTCAATCTCTTATTCTATTTCTCTTTTCTGCTGGTACATCACTATCTTTTTATATGTGATATTTGTAACCTATGAAACACATACTAATAGAACCCAATGAAGGTCACCAGGTTTATGCAGCAAATAAAAAAAAACGTTTGTTTTTTATGAATATCTTCAAAAAGACCTAATGATCAATGAATATTACTATTGCGTAGAAAACATAGAATAAAACACGTGCAAAATGCCAACGTTCATATTCAATTTGATAATCACATATCATACTTTTGTTCTTCATAAGTTTATTAGTCGAAGAACATTTTTATCTTGTTTGACTCGTTCATAATTCATTTTTTCGTCGAACTTTATTATTCAATATAGTACAAGTTGATGGTCAGTTGTAAAAACCTTAAATTAAAACATAAAGATTAAAAAAAGTTTATTTACTATCATACAAATGTTACGTAGTCAAATATTGATTTTTACTACTCAAGAATTAAGCAACAGTGTCATTCGAAAACATATCGATTGTTCAAAACAAAAAAAAACACTGGACTTTCTTATCTTTGGTTGTCATAGATGATTGTTTTCAAGGTAAAACAAAATTTAACTATGGACAAAAACTTCACGTTGAAATTTCGTACTTCGATTTTTTTGCCATAAATATGCTGTCAGAGATTTTTGAAAAATTAACCAGTCCCGTCAGAGCTTACCTTAAATAAAATGCCAGTTCGATTAGTGAATCATACTTGAGAATGTTTCCTGGTTAATACTGAAATTCACCAGTACCATTCACAGAGATGGAAAATAAGACTTTGAATTCGATTTTTTTCACTAAGGGGTTTATGTTTCTTATGATTCGCAATCAAATTTCATTAAATTCATTTATTGCCTTCGAACAGATCTCGAAAAAGTTTTTGATTGTTTAGGAAATAATCCTTGATAGGAAATACCTCCACATGGCATGACACTTTTCTGAAACTTTTCTTTTGGTTTCATTTTCAATTCGTATGGAATATCAGATATGGATTTAGCATAAATACCTTCGTTGTGTTGATTGTATTGAGGACTTAACGTAAATATATTACTAAAGTCTGTATTCAAAACATAAGCCCAATCATAAAGCTTATTTCCTTTCTTAAAACCATATTTTTTTTCGTAATCGTTTTGCAATGATAACACGTTGAAGTTTTTGATCGGTTGTTAATTTTTATACTATTTCTATTTTCCACCATTTTAATTTTAATGATTGTTTAGTTCGCCAAATTGAACTTTTCGATGTTTTAAAACCTTGTTGTTGAAGTTTTGTACTAACATTTCTGATGGATACGTTTTTGATTATACGAAGATTATTTTTTACAGCTTGAATATATTCAGGTGTTGTTGTTATTGTACGTGGTGCACCCGATCTTCACAAACCATTTACCTGATTTCTATTTAGAATTCTACAAACTTTGACGTTCAAAGCACTTTTCGTTGTATAAGAAGGCGGATTTTCTGATTGAATAAGAAAATTTGTAATATCTTTAGATTTCCATGATGGATATATTTGTTTTAAATGTAATATAAATGAACGAAATTCTTTTTTATCTGTCCCTGATTGTTCACGCGACATTCGGTGTTGATTCAGTTGTAACAGACTAATATTATTCTTTATATACTTCGTTCATCGACACGTGCAGAAGCAAAAATATATTGATAAAAGAAAGATTTTCTACTCTGACATATGTTAGTTAAAACACCTTGGAAATAATAACTTTCCTATCATTTTCATATCAATTTTAGCTATCGAAAAATTTTGAAAAAAATACATCGCAGTGTTTTTTGCAGCTTCTCATCAATAGGTTTAGATATAGACTTCAAACTTTGTGATTACGTAGTATTAGGTATGCTCAACAATCTATCAAAGTTTCAAAAAGATTCGCTTTTAATAAATGCGAAAACGATGAATGTTAAAAATCATTTCAGAACTTCTGGAACACCTCCTATGTATTTGCCTAAAGAATTTATTTCACGGATACGTCAACTACTCATTGTGTTCGTTCGTAATATGGTTTGAAATTTGAAACCATTCTCTTTATAGTAGTTTATCTTTTTGAATACAATTCATGTCAACCAAATTTTTTGTTATAACAAATATTTTATTTAATTTAAACTATGGATAGTCGTTAAAAAAATCATGGGATCATTTTAAGCACTAATCATATCAATTCTAGATAAACTAAACAAATATATGTAGGATAGCCAAAGAAACCTTATCCCCCTAATTTTCCCAAAAGTCAGAAGTGAAGAGCAAAAAAAAAGGTCTTCAACGAGATTTTCTAGGCGTACTGAAGTACCTCTGCGACAGTCGGGCCCTTTCTATCCGAACTCTAAGCGCTAGTAAAAATTTCGCAGACAAATAGCAAGAAAATTTTCGCAGACACGCTCAAAAATTGCCGGGGCCTAGCCCCCGGCAGCCCCCGCCACATCGAGGGGCCTGGTAGAGCATTCCAATGGCTGCAAAAAGATGTCTAAATTATTGATAAATTTTGATTTCATAATAAGAAATAAAGTACAACATACTAAAGAAGAATATTTTTCCATAGCGAATAGATCAGTATGATCTTGAAAGGAACCTATGACATCTAGTGTCAATGATGTTATTTATTACATTTTTCATTCTTCTGATAGCAGGGCAACGCCCAATATTTTCCATTCTTGGTTGCGCCACTAGACTCAAAACTTACTGTTAGTGATAGTATTTCCTGCTTTCCGATAAGAGTATATCGTTCCAACACAGATTTCTTGTTTGTCTCCAGTCATGTTGGAACAACGTTTACGAAATAAAAATATCTCTATCTGTTACAAAAAGATAACTGAACAAAGAAACAAAGCTTAGACGAGCAGAAATATTATTTTACAGCAAAGTAAGTTTTGTTTTAGAATATTCTGTATATTAGATCTAACTCGTATATCAATAATACTTTCATAATTTAAACACAATCATTATTTGCACAACATCTATGAAATTCATCAGTCAGAAAAAATGTGATGAAAATACGGTAATGTCGATACATTATTTAGATGAATTAAGCATAAGTCTATTTTATGTATTACATGTAGAACACAAGATTTATATCGAAAACTGTATCATTAGTTATTGATCTGCTTAATGTTGACAATGTTATTTGAAATGCGCAAGGAAAAATCTCTAAACTGTTTTCAACTCCATTCTCCTGATATATTGTTCTTGTCATAGAAGCTTTCATATTGTAGAATTGTTACTCTCATAAAAACAAACATATTTATATTCGAAATTACTAAGGTTCATCTTTAATGTAAATAATCTTTTGAATTTTTTTCATAGGATGAATAAATTTTTCTTTGGGAGGAAATAATATCTATTAAAACATAAAATAGTAATATTTTTTATAAAAGAAAAACATTCAAAAAAAACACAACAATAAAAATTTCTCATTGGTTTAAATCATATAACCAATCATAAGACAATTGAAAAAAAAGAAAAGTAAAAGTCCATAAATAATAAATATAAATAGGAACGGAACAAAAAAAAAAAGAAGATACGATAAAGTAAGCCAATATATGGAAATATCCGAATTATATTATCTTCTTTTATTTAGATGTTTTAGTTTCATTGTTGTGAAGAAAAAAGAAGACACATATTTTATCATGAGTGAATCACCACTTTCGGATACATTAGATGATTTATTATACAATGACGATGATAATACAAATTCTGATGATAATAATCAATCAAATGAATATACAATACCTAGAACAAATATATCGTCAAATAATGAATTAAAAATTAAAATAAAAAAACGTAAAAATGAACAATCATCAGATAACAAAGAACATAAAAGAAAAAAAAAATCTAAAAATCAACCAATATATATGCGTCGTAATATTCGTACTTTATTAACAAATGATAAATTACAAGATGGTACATTAACAGCACTTAAAGCTGAACAAGATCGTCTTAAACGTCTTGAAGAAATAAAACATTCATTACAAACAGTTTATAATCATCAACCAACAAATTATAATCAAACATCAACATTAACAAAATCAAATGAACAAGAATGTATTGTTTTAGATGATGATGATGATGATGATGATGATGATGATGATGATGATGATGA